ACTAAAATGTCATCTTTTACAGCACTGGCTGTAAGGCCAGGATCTTGTTGGCTTGAGATCAGGTTCAACAGACAATTGCAATGTTATCTTTGGTTTTTGCAATTGAGTTCAAAGATGTATGGGATGTAGAGTTATACAGAAGGCCCATAACAGTACCATAGCAATTGTGAAATCTGCTCAGCACATGTCATCAGCAACTTGATTGGAGCACAGTTCTGCTCCCTGAAAAATAGTCCTCTGTGAATCTTGACTCTGCCTCTGAGGTTCAGCTCCAGCCTGTGAGTCATTCTGACTATTTCATAAGAAATACTCCATATTTATAACAGTGTATCTTTATTGGCCTGCTTCCTGCCATATTAAGATTGGGATACCCCAACACACAAAGGCTCTTTTTAATTGAACTGTGTCTATTCTTTTCTGTCTATCCTGTGGTACTTTCATTAGAACCATTCTTATAAAAACTTTGTGAGTTATCTATGAATTTTATTAAAATTAATTCCATTAGACAGATGCCACATCCACAAATTTGAGGTAGGCCACTTTCTATTTTGGGCTGAGTGTCATGGTGCTGTGGGACATCAGACTGAAGAGCCTTAGAAGGTTTTTTGACTAGCTGAGACATTCTAGAAAAGTATGCCTTTAAGACTCTTTGAAGCCCTTTTGTCTAGCTGAAAAGGTCTAAAAGGACTTGTCTTAAACCTTTCTGAGGTCCAACACAGGATTTCACAGGAGATCTGATTCTTATTTGGAGGCCATTTTTTTACTGCCAGCACCCTGGGATTTGAGATGTATTAGCTAAGCAAAGGGAAGGGGGAGGATATTCCACAATGGAGGACCAGAATAAAAAAGCACAGTCTCACTGGGGAATAGAGGAGAAAACCATCTATCTGGGTTCATGATGAGGGGAACACAAAATGAAACTGGAAGGGTAAAGTCGAATATACTAAGAGAATTGACTACCATATTATGAAGTCTGCAATTTATGCTCTCAACTGCTGGTTTCCCCTTGCTCGTCCAAATGTTACATCAGATGCACTTGGATAGCTTTATAATTACACAGCTTTACCCTAGAGATTTTAAAAGGTTGCAGTAGAATCTGTATCTAAGTAAAGTTCCCAGGTGACTCTCAGACTTAGGAGCCATTGCTCTAGGCAACAGTCAGCTGTTGACTTTTTGAGAAAGAGAATGACATAAAGGTAGGCATCTAATGAAGTTTTCAGTTACAAGCATGAATAATAAAAAGTGGTATTTTCATTGACAACTTTTATTTCTCTTTCATATTATTTCCCTCAGAGACCTACTTCACAGAATCGATGTATTTTCTGGCCATATACATCTAGAACAGAGGTCCTCAAACTTTTTAAAGGGGGGGCCAGTTCACTGTCCCTCAGACATTCCACACATGCACACTGCGGGCCCGGGACGAGTCGGCTGCCAAGCAGGACAGGCAGTGGCGGCAAAAACACCCGGCAGGCAGCATGTGGCCCGCGGGCCGTAGTTTGAGTACCCCTGATCTAGAAGAACCTCAATCACATCATAATCGCATCTTAACACATAATAATAATTTTGTTTGTTTGGATTATTTTGTTAAGGAAGATAAGCCTAGTATACTGGAGGGCAAGGTCAGGAGATAGGAGGCTATGGACCTAAGTATGAAAAGATAAGGACCTTATCTAAGATGGTGATAGTAAGAATAAAAATGAAACGAGAGATCAAAGCACTGACACTACTAACACTTTTAGAAAAAAAAAATCACAGAAAATGTTGAGAATCAGAACAATGCTTATCACGCATCCTTAAGATGATTAAGATCTCTCTTCACAGAAAAATTTCAGTAACAAATGTAAAAAGAATGACAGAATTAGAAATCACAATTTTTTCAATTCCTAATGTCATAACCAATTCAGTGCTTACATCTTTAAGTGAAAACAACACATCAAGGAAGCAATCAAATAAATCCAAAAGCTCCAACACTCTATAGCAGCCGTGGGCAAACTACAGCCCGCAGGCCGGATCCGCCCGTTTGAAATGAATAAAACTACCGCGGAGCCGAAAGAGCGGAGGGTTCCCTTGCTCTCCCCTCCGTACCCTTTTATGTAATGATGTTTACTTTGAATTTATATTAGTTCACACAAACACTCCATCCATGCTTTTGTTCCGGCCCTCCGGTCCAGTTTAAGAACCCATTGTGGCCCTCAAGTCAAAAAGTTTGCCCACCCCTGCTCTATAGAGACAGTATTCCAGTTTCTTTAAGATGTCAAAGGCACAACAGATCATAAAGTAAACAAGAGACTCTTCAGGATTAAAGGTGATACCCTATTTAATAAAAGGCTAATATGCAAATCGACCAAAAGGAGGAACCACTGGTTGTTATGACACGCACTGACAACCAGAGGGTAGACACTCAACGTAGGGGGAGCGCCACTCAGCCAGAAGCCAGGCCCACAGCTGGTGAGCAAGAGGGTGCAAGCCAGACTGAGGGACCCACCCCCAGGCCCCCAGAGTACACAAATTTCATGCACCGGGCCTCTAGTAATAACATAACAACCAAATATAATGTATGAACTTACTGGGATCCTGGTTGTAACAAACTTACAGTAGAAAGACTTGGGGACAATCTGAGGCAATTGAATATGAACTAGGTGTTAGGTTATATTAAATTATTATAAATTCTGTTAGATGTAAAAAGGTTTTATGGTAATATAAAAATGTTTTAATTTTTAGACATGCATTAAATATTCTGGGGCACAACATCATGAGGTCTATAATTTAAATATTCCAGCCCCACTTCTAAATAAATGAAACAAACACAACAAAAAGTTAATAATTGCTTAAATCTACATGATAGGTATATTAGTGTTCATTGTACTAATCTCTCAAATTCCGTTTGCCTGAAATGTTCTTGATAGATTCAAATGAGGGAAATTATTAGTAACCCTTCTGTTGCTTCATTAAGTTTCAAGTTAAAGAAGTTCTCAAAATGTTCTAGTGCACAGATACATGAATCAGATAAACCATACCTAAAACAGTCAAAATTGTGATGCATAGAATGGAAAAACCAGGTAAACTATATCATTTCTTAATGAAACTTATGTATACCAGTGTACCATATATGCACTTTCAGGCTTCAAAAAGACATCTGGGCAACAAAAATTCAAACTTTCCAAAAAATATATCCAACAACAAGCAATAAAGGTTAACATAGTATGTTCCATCTAACACTTGACTAGAAAAACATTTTCTACTGAAATAAAGTAGAAAAATGATTATGTAACTTACTATTTACCAGTTAATACTCATTTAAAAAGAACTAAAGCCTATTTTATTAAGTAACAACACCAAAACCTGACAAGTTATACAGACAGTATAAAACTCTAAATTTAAGTTTTTAAAATACTTGATAACTTGAATACATATATTAGATTTCTAACACCAAATTTAAGTTCTTGGTTTTAAAAGCAGTAGTCTTTCCACCACAGCTATCAGTAGTAACCTCAGGAGAGTTCAAAGCATTTGACTAAATAAACTAGCTAAGGAGTAGAATCCAATACATAAAACTTATTAAGATTTAGGAAGTGAAATATATGATCCCTGGGAATCCCCAAAACTCTTTTAGAGGGTATAGAAAGTCAAAACTATTTCATAATACTTTTTCATTGCATTGACACTTCTACTTAAGGTACAAAAGCAGTGTTGGGTAAAACTGCCAGCACTTCAGCACAGATCAAGGCAGAGGCACCAAACTATAGTAGTAGTCACTGCTTTCTTCACTGCCATGAACTTGTAATAATTGGCCAGTTTCACTTACAAATGTCCTTGATAAAGCAGTAAAAATTATTAATCATAAACCCTGAGTACAGGTGGTTTTAATATTCCATGTGAAAAAGGAGATATATGTTTAAAGCGCTTCTTTATATTTTAAAATGTGTCAACACTTGGTAGATCTGCATAATTCAGTGAGCAACTATTTTCCAATGACTAATGCATAATGTTTCAAAATCATGTATGAGTAAATAGCCATTCAAAGTTGAAGATAGATCAGTGTATTTTAAGTCAACAGAGTATAAAAAGCTTACTGATATGGTTTCAGATTCCAGATTGCAATGAACATTTAAGAAACTACCACTTGTCAGTTTTGGTGCAATATCAAAGAAGAATATCTACAATTATGTATAAAAGGTATTACTGTCAATACTCATATGTATGAGGCCAGATTGTCATCATATAGTATTTCAATTAAATCATCACATCACAACACTGACTACAGAAGCAGATATAAAAATTCACGTGTCTTTTTTAAAGCTAGAAATGAATTTTCAGAAACTATAAAATAATACTTCTCAATCAAAAATGATTTTTGTCCCTCAAGGGACATTTGGCTATGTCAGGAGATATTTCTGATTGTCATAACTGGAGAAAGTGCTACTGCCATCTAGTGGGTAGAGGCCAGTGATGCTGTGAAACATCCTACAATGTACAAGACAACAGATCATCCAGCCCAAGTTAATAGTGCCAAGGTTGAGAAAACCTGCGGGAAAAGAATACCACCCTTCTCACATAGTTATTTTCATAAAAAATGTGTTATTCATAGTCACATGTAATGGGTTTACTATTATAATATTAAATGAATAATAAACAATTTAAAAAATTCTTAGTTTTAGTTTACAATATAGTAAATGTCAATAGGTTAGCTCACATAAACAAAAGCTCTTTGGCTTCTTCAATAATTTACCAGTGTAAAGGGGTCCTGAGACTAAGAAGTTTGAGAATCAATAATTTGAAGAATGGTATAACTAACAAAGTATGCTAGAGAATATAAGAGAAATTAAAAGACTCAAAAGGAAAATGTACTCATTTCAAGAATAGTATGTATGACCAAAACAAACAAAAAACCCCTATAAAGCTAAAGGGTTCAAAAGATAAAAGTTATGATAGATCCAAAATGTCATTCTCCCCTTAAAAAACAACAACACAAAACACATTCAAACCACAACTCTTACCCTGACTATGAAGGCTTGCAGGACTAAAAGATGGCTGACACGAGTCTTTGGTTGGAGTTGGATAAGCTTCTTTCCCTTGGCGCTGACTCATCTTTCCTGGTGTCAGAAGTTGAGATTCTTCACTGTTTGCTATAACAGCTCAAGGAAAAAAGGGAAAAAGTATTAGAACTTCAGCGCTAGACTTACACAATGGCTAGTTAATAACATGGAACAGAACTATGATTGAACCTGCCTCAATGTTTATTAATTTTACCAACTCAATACTTTAATAAATTTGCATAATTGTTTTTCTTTTACTTTGCTTTCAATTCCCCCAAAATTGATAGGTATGTATGAGTAAAAGTATACAAATTATGGAGATTATAAAACTGAAAACATATTCAATTGATAAGAAAATGTACTGCAAGATTTACTGTGCTATTAATATTAACTCTTTATAAGCAAAAGCCATTTCACAGAAGAAATACAAATGGTCAATAAACATATGAAAAGATACTCAACCTCATTAGTGATCAGAAAAAATACAAATTAATAGTAGTATAAAATAATGTTGTACATTCATTAGAATTTCTACTCTAATTTCTAATTTTCACAGGTAGTAGGTATAATTCCTGTTCTAGAAATGGGTAACTTGAGGTTCAGAAATTGCCTCGTCTAAGACTAAGTAATAGAGGTAAGATTCTAACTCAGGATTTGGTTCCAACGTCTGGCTCTTAAAAGCTTGCTGCCCCAATAACCAGTTTAAATAGTGTTTCAGGCTGCTATTCTCCCACTTGGCCAAGCTACAAATAGAGGAAAGCAATGCCCAGTTCCAGAGAGAACAGAAAAAAGAAAAATACTCAATGAAAGAATAGGGCAAATAATTGTGAGCAACACCACAGTGTCCTAGGATTTCCACATCCTTTTATTTTATGTTTTTGTGCTTTCAGTCTACAAAGGCTTTAGTTTTATTTTGAGCGAGAATGATTCTGTCTTCACTCTAAATTTTTAACTTAACCAGAGCTTCATGTTTGCATTTCAATCATACCGTTTAATCAAATTGCTTTATCATGTTTTCTACTGTGCTGTTTTCAAAATTATATTTTAGCTCCTTAAATTTCAAAAATACTTCCATTTATCATCCAAGACATAAAAAAATTATTTCCCCATCAAGTCCATTAAAAAAAGAATCTACTCACTGATGACTCCAAAATTTATATATCTTCTCCTGAACACAAACTCACATACCCAATTGCCTGCCTTATAACTGCCTCTATTCTTTTAATTTTTTAAAAATTTTTATTATTTCGGGGGGGGAGGGAGAAATATCAACAATGAGAGAGAATCATTGCTGCCTCCTGCACGCCCCACACTGGGAATCGAGCCTCACCCCAAGCATCTGCCCTGACTGGGAATCGAACAGGTTACTTCCTGGTTCATAGGTCGATGCTCAACCACTGAGCCATGCCAGCTGGGCTAATTGCCTCTATCCTTTAATAGACAACTCAAATTTATCCAGAATGTAGTTCTTGATTCTGCTTATCTTCCAAACCTGCCTCTCTCTAATTCAGTTAGTGGAATCATTATTCCCTTCCACCTGTTCTCAGGCCAAAAACCTTAGATGTATTATTCAATGTTCCTCTTTCACACTTCACATCCCATTTATCTCTGAGAGCTTTATATTTTACCTTCAAAATTTATCTGGAGTCCTTCTATTTCCCCCCACTTATACAACTACCACCCTGTTCCAAGACACTATTACCTTCCCACTGGATCACAGCATCAGATTTCTACCTCGAGATCAGACTTAGGGGCTTATTCCTGCTTGTGCAGAGTTCATTCTCTACATGGAAGCCCAAGCAATCTTTGTAAACCATAAATCAGATCTGCATCATGCAGAGAAGTCTTCTCAATGGCTCATTACACCTATAATAAATTCCATGGCCTAAAGATTCAAGGATGTCTGGCACCCATTATCTTCCCAACCTAATTCTCTACCATTCTCCTCTTTACTCATTGGGTCCCAGTCATAATGGTCTTCTTGGTATTCCTCAAAACACACCATCTTGCCCCAATCTCTGGGTTTTTATATTTCTTGTTCTCTCTACCTGAAATACTCCTACCCCACATCTTTTCACTATTAACCCCTCTCATCATTTGTGTTCAAACGTCATCTCCTCAGAAAAGCCCTTCATGGTGCCTTTTGATAAATAAGTTCCCATTTTAATATAGTATAATGTATCAATTATTTTATTTTTTTCCCACTAGTGCCCATTCCACCAGTTATACTCTAACACTTTACATGATTTTTATTATGCTTTTATTACATGCTTTCATTAATCTATAAGTTCCATAACAGAAAGAAATTTTGTCTTATTTTCCCATAATTCCCGAGTCCTGGTATGGTCCTGGCATACTGAAGGTGTTCAACAAAATTTTGTTGAATGAATCAATTATTATAGTTTTATGAAACTTCATTATGAAAAAGTATATGATGTCTCCTTCAATTGCTGAATCCAAGATCCATTTAACTCCTAAAAATTATTATTGATTAAAAAATGTATGTTGCTGATGTAGAAAGACAAATTGACCTAAGGAATCTAACAGAGAGCTCGCTGAAACAAACCCATGGTTGTGGAGTCCAGATATACAATAAAGGTAGGGAATGAAAAGACTATTTAATTACTGATACTGGGAAAATTGGTTTTCCAAATTGGAAAAATAGGTCCCTACCCTCAAACCACACATAAAGAATAATTTTATGAAAATTAAAGATATACATGTAAAAAGCAAAACTTGAAAACTTTTGTAAGAAAATATAAGAGAGTATATTTATAAACATGGGCTAAAGAATGATTCCTAAAAAAAAAAAAAGACACAAAGCATTAACCATAAAAGAATTGCTAATTTCCACCACACTAAACAAAAAAAAAGGTAAGACTTAATTTAATCAAAAGAAAACAAAATTAAAAACAGAAAACAGTAGAAGATATCTGCAACATAATATAATTAACAAAAGATATCTGTAACACATATAATTAGTATCCAGAATGCTTTCTTTTTAAAAAAACAAACAAACCACTACTCATAAGTAAATATGAAAAAGACCAACACTGCAATATAAAAATGGGGACATATGCATCAAAAAGTATAAAATACCAAGAAGTAAATTTAACCAAGGAAGTGAAAGACCTGTACAGTAGTCTCCCCTTATCCATAGTTTTGCTTTCCACAGTTTGTTACCCACGGTCAACTGCAGTCTGAAAATATTAATTGGAGAACTCCAGAAATAAACAATTGTGTGTCATTCTGAGTAGCACGATGAAATCACATGCCATCCCACTCCATCCCATCTGGGATGTGAATCATGCCTTTTTCCAGCATATTCATGTTGTCTGTACAATATAATAAGATATTTTAAGAGACCACATTCACATAACTTTCATTAAAACATATTGTTATGTGTTTTATTTTATTATTAGGCATTGTTGTTAATGTCTCACTGTGCCTAATTTATAAGTTACATTTTATCATAGGTTGTATGTATGTATGTATGTGTAGAAAAAAGCATAATACATATGGGTTTGGTACTATCCGCGGATTCAGTCATCCATCGGCAATCTTAGAATGTATCCTCAGTAGATAAGGAGGAACTACTGCACACTGAAAACTGTTAAGACACTGATGAAAGAAGTTGAAGATATAAATATATTGAAAGATATTCCATGCTGATGGAATAGAAGAATTAACACTGTTAAAATGTCCATACTACCCAAAGCAATCTACAGATTCAATGCAATCCCTATGAAAATTTTAATGGCATTTTCACATAAATAGAACAAATAATCCTAAAATGTGTATGGAACCACAGAAGACCCTGCAGAGCCAAAGCAACCTCGAGAAAGAACAAGACTGAAGGCATTAAGCTCCCAGATTTCAAACTATATTACAAAGCTATAGTAATCTAAACAATATGGTATTAGCTATAAAAGAAGTCATACGATCAGTGGAACAGGACAGAGAGCCCAGAAATAAACCCACACCTACATGGGCAACTAATTTATGACAAAGAAGCCAAGAATATACAATGAGGTAAAGGACAGCTTCTTCAATAAGTAGTCCTGGGAAAAGTAGATAGTCACATACAAAAGAATGAAACTAGACTGCTGACACCTTACACAAAAATTAATTCAAAATGAATTAAAGACTTGAATGGAAGACTGAAACCATAACACTCCTAGAAGAAAACATACACAATAAGCTCCTTTACTTGGTGATGATTTTTGGATCTGACAATAGCAAAAGTAAATAAATGGGACTACATCAAACTAAAAAGCTTCCGCACAGCAAAGGAACCGTCAACAAAATGAGAAGATAACTTAACTAAACGTGAGAAAATATTTGCAAATCAAATATCTGATAAGTGGATATAATATCCAAAATATATAAAGAACTAATACAACTCAATAGCAAAAAAGAAATAAAATCCTAATAAAAATGGACAGAGTATTTAAATACACATTTTCCCCAATAAATACACAGATGTTCAACAGGCACATGAAAAAGTGCTCAACTTCATTAATCATCACATAAATGCAAGTCGTAACTACATAAGACATCATCCTACACCTCCTTAGAATGATTATTATTTTTAAAATCAAAAAATAAAAAGTGTTGGCAAGGATGTGGAGAAAAGAAAATCCTTTGCACTGATGGTGGGAATATAAATTGGTACAACCACTATGGAAAACAGTATGGAGGTTCCTAAAAAAATTAAAAATAGAACTAACATATGTTTCAGCAATTCCATTTCTGTGTATTTACCTAAGAAAATGAGAACACTAAGTTGAAAAGAAATATGCTACCCCATTTTCACTGCAGCATTATTTACAATAGCCAAGGGAAGTGTCTATCAATGGGTAAATGGATAAAGAAAATGTGCTTCCTATAAACAATGGAATATTATTCAGCATTAAAAAGAATGAAATCTTTATATTTGGGACAACATGGATGGACCTTGAGAGCATTATGCGAAGTGAAATAAGTCATACAGAGAAAGACAAATAAGGTATGTAGAATCAAAAAGGACAAACAACAAAAAAACTTAGCTTATAGATACAGAGAAGAGACTGGTGGTTGCCAGAGGTGAAGAGGTTGAG